AGGCTTAAATTATATGTTTTCACACTGATATGTTTCACTGAAAGATGTTATGTCCTTGTACCCTAATGTTCAGTTCTCTTCATGTTTTAATCTCAGAGGAGGAGAATCAGGAGTCTCCTCGGAGTCGTCTGACATGTTTTATTTCACCATCTCCTCACCAGAAACAGTGTTCAGGTAATTTAATTTTAATTTTATTAATATAATTATTGTACTAATATTTAATTTTAGTTAACGTAAGCTTGATTTTTCCAAATATATCATTGAAATATGTACATTGAAACAAGAACAAGATGTCTAATCATACATTTAAAGCCATCTTGGTTCAGTGTGTGTTTTGTTGTAAATGTTGTGTTGAAGCTGGTCAGTGGTTGATGTGTGTGTTTCAGATCATGTTCCTCTCAGACTGAGTGGAGGGGAGGGCTGGTGCTCTGGGAGGCTGGAGGTGTATCATAACGCTGTGTGGGGCTCAGTCTGTGATGATCAGTGGGACATCAGCGATGCTCAGGTGGTCTGCAGGCAGCTGGGTTGTGGAGCAGCACTGAGGGCTGATGGGAATTCAGTCTTTGGTGCTGGTGAAGGTGTTGTGTGGCTGAACAGAGTCGAGTGCAGAGGGAATGAGATTCACCTGTGGGACTGTCCTCTCTCCCTGAAAAACCACACTGACTGCTCCCACAAAGAGCACGCTGGACTCACCTGTGCAGGTCACAGCAAAATACGAACAAATAATATTAATTTTAGATCATTTTAAGACAATCATGATTTTGAATGTGTTTGTGTATTTGACAGATGGGGCTCAGTCTCTGATGATCAGTGGGACATCAGTGATGCTCGGGTGGTCTGCAGGCAGCTGGGTTGTGGAGCAGCACTGAGGGCTGATGGGAATTCAACAATTAGTGCTGGTGAAGGTGTTGTGTGGATGAACAAAGTCGAATGCAGAGGGAATGAGATTCACCTGTGGGACTGTCCTCTCTCCCTGAATAACCACACTGACTGCTCCCACAAAGAGCACGCTGGACTCAGCTGTGCAGGTCACAGCAAAATACGAACAAATAATATTGCTCCCGCAAAGAGCACGCTGGACTCACCTGTGCAGGTCACAGCTAACACTGAGGAACATTATCTATTTGAGCATTTAGAGCTGATAGTATTTTGTATTTTATTTTTTATTTTTTTTAATGTATTATTTTTAATGTTTGTGTCTGCCTGTTTTTATAACGACAGATTTGCCAGTGTTCAGTACTTCTGGTGCATCGAGATCAGTCTCTCCTCCACAAACTCCTCCAGCAGGGTCTCTCTCTGTCCCCCCAGTGCTTGTGATTGTTCTGGGAGTTGTGCTCTTACTGCTCTTAGTGCCACTGCTTATACTGATTCAGCGAAAGAGAGTGATGAGGAGAGGTAGGTGAGATCCAGAGACTGTCATATTGTGTCTTATTCAGTGTGTGATCAGTCATGTGTTGTGAACTGACAGCAGGTTTGTCTGTTTGCACTCACAGCTCTCCCTGACTGGTACACAGAACTACACAGGACACACACTGAGGCCATTTATCACGAGATTCATCACAGACAACATTACTTCACTCAGCAGGGTGAGGCATCATGGAAGAATGCTAAAAGCTTTAACTATTTTACCATTTATGTGTTTAAAAATTATGAAAACCTTGGCGAGAAAAGGCTATCAAAGTAAACAAAATTTTGGGACTCCAGCAGGGACGCGGGAAGTAGGGGTGCTGAGGGGGCTGCAGCAGCCCCTGTTTTCACATGGTTGCAAATGCAATGCCAAGTTTATTCATTTAAATTTATTCAGTTTTAGCATTTAATAATTTATTTGTAATGATCTCTGAAATGTAAATTGTAAGTGGGCTATAATAAACCCATGTTTATCATTATAAACATGATTAATTTTACTTGTGATGTTTTCTATATGGGATGATTAGCCTAATCCTCATGAACACATGACGCTAAAGTCTCTGAACTGAGAATGTCAGATGGGTGCAACTGTTTATCTTTCTGTGTTTGTGTAATCAGATGAATTTGTAGATGAGAGTTTGTGAGACTCCAAACCACAAAGCTGCATGTTTGTGTGTGTGCCAGTGAAAGTTTCTTCCTGTGTGAAATTTTCGAGTGATAAGCAGTTTCATATTAGGTGCATTTGAGTTGGAAGAGATAAAGAACTAACTTAGTTCCCCAAACACAATTTATTTTTAAATAAGTTAAAATATGATATGAACGATTGCATCAGCTCTTTGAGTCAATGCAGTTTATTGAAAACTTCTGACTGTTCAACAGTTGCTATAAAAAAGGCCAGCCACATAAAATGAGTTTAAACTGCACTGACAAATGCCAACCAACGTAACAGGCACACTTGTCAGGTTTTGTTGGATCATTGAGTCTCCCTGTCAGTGTCTGTTGCCATTAGTCTTCATTGTTTCCATGGACTGAATATGTTCATTCTGCATTTTTCAAGTTGTGGAAAGTCTAAGCTGAATCGTGATTTTACAAAAAAACGTAATCTGATGATCGTCATCATCTGTTGTTGCAGTGTGAATTATCTCTGAAATGCAGTGAGCTGAATAAACGGGTTGATCACACAGAATGAATGTTAGCTTTTAAAAAAGCAAGACGCAGTGCAGTAAAATAAAAAAAAGAGCTCATGGTCTAAAAAAAGTGAAACTTTTAAGGCAAAAAGCCCACCTACAAGATCAAAACCAGATTTTGGCCATGCCTTCGAAGTGAGTGAAGGTCAAACTGAGAATTCTTAAATGGGACGGTCTAGCCTATGCACTTATCGCACAGCAACTATGACAGCTGCCATTGACGAGCGACAGTAACGTTCGTACTGTATAGGGGTTATGCGCAACAGATTCCGTATTCTGTTAACCGGGTCTCGCCGCTTCTGGTTCAAGCGTTTTGCATATGCTTCGTTAAATATGAAGCAGTTTTACTCAAGGTGCCTTCAAAGTAGATACCAAAGATTATCATAACCAATTTCCAACACAGATGCGGAATGATATCTAAAAGTTTTTTTCACTTTTCACTAACATTTATATAAAAACAATTAATAAAACGTCAACAATAAAAACAGCTAGCTAGTTTAACCGATTATCTTAAAAGCCCATAGATATCGCTATTATTTAGTACGGCTGTTAGTACGTTCTCCGACAAGCGGAAGCAATGAGACCTGTTTTCCGGGTTTGGTCAGGTGACGAACGTTCGACATATACCTTATTGAAAATGAAAACAAAACAAAACATGGTTTACAGTCTGTCTAAATAGATTCACTCTGGTTTTTTACATATTACATAATAAATAGTTGTTATATATTTCTATTGTTACGTTACAATTAATGAATCATCATGGCTTTATCAGGTTTTATCCAACAGTCTCGAGATGTCTATGACATGACAAGCTATATTACAAATAGCAATGTGAGGTTTTGTTTTGCATGTGTATCAGAGGGAGATCAGGAGGAGTATGATGATGTGAAGAACAGCAATAAAGATGGGAAAAACCTAGGTAGGTTATTGTCACCTTATACTTTATAACTATATCCTTATAATGTTTACATTTCTAATTTAAACTAAATCTAGATGAAATTCTAACAATGAAAATGTGAATTTGCTTTTGTTTTTAAAAACAGACTATGATGATGTCGGGGAGGAGTCAAATAAAGAGGGAGGGGCCATGTGACTCGGTGACCACACCCACTATCTCTGTTCATGAAATCATATTAGTTACTGGAGCTACTGGGACTTTCTCATATTGCTACTAATGCATCAGTGCCTTTGTATGTTATTTCATTTTTTTTAAATACAAATGTTCATGCTTTGCAAAATTAGGTAACAACAAATTTTAGTATTTGTGCATTTCAGTATTTAGCTTATTATTTTTATTCTGATATAAATGCTTTTTACCTATTAAACAAAATAAGCAAATTATATAATTCATTCAGTCTATTTACCACATTTTTTAAAGAGCAGTTAGTGGAAATCAAAAATAGATTGCAAAGATTTATTGCACACTTCATGTAAAATGTGATAATAATAAAAAAAAAATTCACACATTTATACACCTGTCCCAACTGCAGAGTTTACTGTGTGATGGTGCACTTCAACTTTAAAATGCTTTAAATGACTTCAAAGCGTCTCTAGTCTCATTTTGTGGCTGATTATTTGCATTGAGCTTCAATTTTTTGCAGAAATAGCTCCATCTGCAGGTTAAGGTTGGGCTGATCCTTCTTGTTTTTTTTTCTCCACCTGCTGAGCTGAGGGTTTTCCTTACAATGACATTACATGGAGGATATATTAAGAAATACGAAATTATATCACACACACACAAAGGGCCGGCCCTAGCATTTTGCGGGCCCTAAGCAGATTTTCAAAAGAGGTGCCCTCTATAACCCCCCCACACCCCCCATCGTATACTAGGGCTGCAACAAACGATTATTTTGATAATCGATTAATCTAACAATTATTGGAACGATTAATTGACTAATCGTTGATTATTTCACTGCTTAATCAGTAGACTTTGATTGATTATTCAGATTTTGCAATTAGTTAAAATATTGAGTTATACATATTCTAACAAATTAATAAAGGTAATCAGCTTTTGAAAATCATATTACTGTATGTAATTACAATTATTATACAATTAATTTATACAAATAAATATATTTGGCACACAAAATGAGATGACAGATAAACTCTCTCATTCACCATTTCATTAGCTAAAAAAGTAACTGAATGACATCCTGACATCTGCTTTTATAAGTCATATGAATAAGAAACAAAATAAAGGTAAGAGATAAGAAGTTTTATTTTTGGATAAACTATTTTGTTCACAACATAATCTCTCTTAAAATACATTACAGGTTTGAGGTTTATGATAATCAAAACAGTCCTGAGCTAGATCAAGCTTTGATCTCTGCAAACCAAGATATCACTTTAGTCTTGCGCTACAGCGCCACACTTGTCAAACCGCATTATTGCAGGCTCTTACATTAGGTCACATGAAATCAAACGACTACTCGACAACAAAAATATTGACAATTTTTTATTGCCTACGTTGTCGATAATGTCGACTAATCGTTTCAGCCCTATCGTATACATCTTACATTGACACTTTATTGTAAAGCAATGTTATTTTAGTATCATTCGTGTGCTATTAGTTTTTGTTAATATATTTAATTATTTTTGTATTTATATTTTCTGCTGTCATTTTCATTTTAAAGTTTGTCATTTTATTGTTTGTTTTTGTTGTTTTTATTAGTTTTGTTGATTTTCTGTATAGTTATTACATTTTATTTCAGTTTTAGTGTTCGTTATTTTAGAACATCAAGATAAACTAAATGAAAATGGGAAACCCTGTTGTAAAAAATTACCAAACTGTCTTAATCAGTATCTACTCAGTATTTATCTTTCAATACATAAATATGAAGATATATTTACTTATTAAGCACTTTTAACAATTATTTAAAACTTTTAAAAATGTAAAAGCTTAAGCTTTCAAAAAAAAATTATGAACATTTTGTGAGATTAATGCTTTAAGAACACTGAAAAAAATGTTTCATTCATCCAATTAAAAAAATGTAGGGTAATGATTCACATCTTTATTTTTTAACTTGAGCTCAAGCAATCATTGTTGATAAATCCCACATGCGGTTTTTGTAAATGCCTTCTCTGCAGAGCGCATTGTTTGCCAAGTCTTCAAATAACGCGAGATAAGCCATCGCACAGTCTGAGACAAACATTTGTCACAGCTGTCTTTTATAGGGTTTGATACCAGTTACACAACTTGTCTGTTTAAAACCACACAAATTATCAGTTGAATGTTTTATCATTAAAGGGGTCATATGATGCTGCTAAAAAGAACATTATTTACATAATTATGGATTATAATGACTTATACTGTCTTTTATGCATCGCGCCGCGTAAACATAAAACCATGTCTGCATTTG